GTCCATCGTCAACTGTAGGGAATTGGTAACTGCCCTATAGTAATGACGGATATTTCATTGCCTTTTTCGATTTCGTTGACAATGTCAACGTATTGTCAATATATACAGATGTGAAATCCATAAGAATGATTTTTTGAGTAGTGGCACTTTAATCACTTGCATTTGTGGAAAGAGAAGTACTAGTGTTTTAGAATAGCTTTCATCTATGCATGTATTTTACCCTCAGATTCCTAAATGGGATAGGGAAGGCAAATCATTCTAAAGTTTTTAATTCTCTTAACCAGCACCCTTTCGTTATTCACCCTTCAAAATCACCAACACCATCTGGTTGTGATTTATCAATAACGGATTCAAGATAGCTCCAACGAAAGAAGTCTAGGGGTATTGAATGTGGTGATCTCAAAGGCCACTTTATTGGTCCTCTTCTGCCACCAACGTCAGAATAAAAGAAAATAGTAGAATGCAAAGAATCGACAGTTTCTTTCGATCATGTTGAGTTACATATCAACTACCAAGGTTTTCTTGAGAAATGGAAGACCAGTAATTGTATTTCCAAGAATACCTGCTCAAACATGAACTCTTTCTCCAGTAGGAATATCTGAAGAGTTACGCTTTTCTGCGTAAGAAAATTGCTAGAGTTAGCCAGATCTTAGCTGAAATATTATAACTCATGACCAATGTTTATACATTCTGACCGAGGATCCTGCCAAAGAATTTGTTTTCCAAACTGTTGTTGAATAAATTCAGGAGAAACATCGAAGACTGACCAGCACGACATTCATCTTGGAATCATCAGAATATCATTCGAAGATTTTGCCACCCAGCAGTGGCTAGTAAGGTGTGCTGTCTTCTGGATATCACTTTGTAACTACTTCGACGACGTACCTGCTTGGAATAGCGTCGCAAACGATTCAAGTCCAACATGGATTGCAGAGAAATAAAATTCACAATCTCCATGTTTTTATACAACTCCTTTTTCATTGCTGACTATCTGGTGCATTACAGTCCACTCACTGATTGATTTTTTTTCATTATAGAGACATGTAATGAAATAAGATTCAACATTATCTACCGGTTGAGCTGCAGAAGGATGAAACTGACCAGAGTAGATGCAATTTTCCTCTAGGTGGAATCTAAAGTCTAATTTGATTCAAAGATCTAATTTAAGTTGACATAATGAAAGTAGTGTTCCAGTTAGAAATAGTGTTCCAAGGTCCTTAAAAGCTGACTTTGCTATTACAACCAAGACATATTGGTATCAAATTCAATATCCAAATTGACTAGAGTAGATGAAATTTTTCTCTAGGTAGAATCTAAAGTCTAATTTGATCCAAAGATCTAATTTAAGTTGACTAAATGAAAGTAGTGTTCTGGTTCGAAATAGTGTTCTAAGTTCCTTGAAAGCTGACTTTGCTATTACAACCAAGACATATTGGTATCAAATTCAACATCCAACAAAACAATCGATGCCGCCAGCAGAATTGTTTGTCCTGGCTTTGTGAACTCCGGTTCTGCTACATCCAGACAACTGATGCCTGTGTTTCTGCAGCAGCTGATGACTGGGCGTCTGAATGCAAAGAAGGGAAAAGTGTGATGTCATCAGCAAAGCAAAATAGTCATCCTAGGGGTTGTAGGCAATTAGGATCCTTGAGGAACACCAGCGTTGATGGTGTGAGTAACAGTGAGAGAACCACCGATGGCTACTTGTGAAGAATGTTATTTGGGAAAGCTGGAGAGCTGAGAACAAAGAGGAACTGATGAGTCACTATATCAATGTTCAATAATTCGACTCATACCAAAAAATCAAGACCAACAGCCTTAGCCACATTGTCTTTCGATTCCGTTATTCCAATGAAGCTGCCTTTCATAGGCTCAATTGGAATCATTCTCTGATGACGAGTCCGTTAAGTTAATCATCAGGATGTTAATTTCAGGATGACCTCAACATGGAGATAGCAGCTAGTGAATTTCGTCGTTCACCTGTTGACAGTTACTCACCAAAGTTTCAGCCATTTTGGACGCGCAGTTGTTACGTAACAATCGTTTGAGTGAGTTGATGTGTTTTTAAGGAATTGGACGAAATCGAGTATCGAGCTGTCATTAAATATTTCTTCTTTTTCTTCTTCTTTTTTTTATGGTATTTGCTTCTCTTCAGCGCAGTAGGCCAGGTTATTAAACATTTGTTTCTGAAAGGGAATAAGCCTACGCAAATCAAAGATGATTTGGATTCTGTGTATGAGGAATTTGCACCATCATCTTTTAGGCATTAGATAATAATAATGATAATATTTTATTTTCCATTTGACAATTGAAAATTGTATTGGATTCGTCAGTACAGGCAGGTGAGTAAAATAAATGAAATTGAACACACAAATAACTTAGACCAATGCTCTGTTGGCGTAGTTCAGGCGCAATAAATCCGAGTTTTGGCGCCGGTTAATTAATGTAGATGAAACTTGGATACACCATACGCCCGAAATAAAAATACAGTCCAAACAGTGGACTGCAAATGGGGAACCGGCTCCAAAAAAGCAGAAACTGTTAACTGTTTTTTCGGCTGGGTGGGAAAGTGATTGCAACTGTTTTTTGGGATGGTCATGGAGTTATTTTAATCAATTGTCTTCAAAAAGAAAAAATCATTACAGGGGCATACTGCATCATTATCTGACAAGCTAAGGCAGAACTTGTGGAAAAACAGCCACATTTCCAGAAAAAAATCCTGTTTCACATGTTTCGTGTTACACCTCAAAGGTTGCCATGGCGAAAATCCACGAGTTACTGTTTGAACTGCTCAATCATCCGCCTTACTGACCAGATCTAACCCCAAGCGAATCATTTTTGTTCCCTCATCTACAAGTTGCGCTCGGAGGACAAAGATTTTCGTCAAATTAACGGGTTACAGAGATGGAGCATCGCTGGGGGAAATGTGCAGAGTTAAAAGGAGACAGAAGACATATTTGATAGATAATCAAACAATTAGTGCCAGTAAATGTCTAAGTGTAGGTCAATGTCGCGCTTTATTCGTAATGAAGCAACTCGTTTTGTGTGAACATTCTCATCGATTAAATTTATTCTAACAAAACAATCCAGGAGGTAATTAACTTCATTATGTTTTTAAATAAATGCGTACGAAATGTAATGAAGTGAAACATGTTTTGCATGTCAATAAAAATGATTAGGTATTATGTACACGGCTTTATGATTATTATCTTTGTGTACACAATCTACTTTACCTTTCACTGGTACCGCTGCCGCTGTATGCGATTGATACAGATTTACGAATTAATAAATTGTACAACCGGAGTTGCTTACATGCAGAAGGTAGGTATTGAATTATAGTTTTACACACTGATTTTTTTTAATATTCTGCAAGGCAAGATTTTCAAGGCACCTAGAGTTTCATTTCATTCTCTAAGAATTTAATTATATGAATCTCAGTGAATGTACACGCCTATTTGGTTAGGTAACAGGTACTACACAACTAGTTCAACATTATATATCACTCTACTATGATATAATATTACAACGGTCTGCAGTTTCAATAACTGCTATCGTGAGACTCCGTTTTTGTGTTATGCTAGTCCATTAGAAAATGGATAGATCGAAATAACTATCAGAGATATCGAATACAGTCATTTTATTTTGTTCCCTGTAAATTATTTTCGAAAATTCGATGGACCTGTTCATGACTTGATGCTTAAGGTGTGATTCTGTGAAATTTCACATTTTCAACTGTTACTGTCCATGAGTTATGATTTTTTCGAAGTGGTGCTGTAACTGTCAAATTATTCCGAAAAAAATTAATATCTCGAAAACTAACAAATTTGGGTATAGGCATTGTTATACAAAGTGGGCCTAAAATGTGCTGAGAAATTCAAAAATGTAATGAAATACAGGGAGTTCCAGTTGAAGTAGGGAAGTTGTCCTCAACTTCCGGTATAACGGAAAGAGACCGGAAGTTGAAAATATTTTAGTTGAGAAGGCCATTTTGGCCTTCAAAATTTCAAGTTTTTATTTTGAATCGTTCTCCATATATTCCTAACGAACGCTCGTCGTGAAAGACCCTGTATATTATACAGTGTCACCGATAAAGTCCGCATCAAATGGGAAACTCTTTTATTTATCGTTTTATGTGAAATTTGATTTTGGCAGTAGATTTTGCTTAAGAAATGATGTCAAATGGCGTCTACAAAATAGGTCACGTGATTTCCTTAACCTGTCAAAATTGACATATAAAAAAAGAAACATCAACTATATGTGAAAATATCACAATATACTTGTTAATTTCAGACAAACTGAAACCAGCAAACAGTACCAATTCAATTTATGATTCAATTAAAGATAAAATACGTCTGGTCATCAATAAAAAGTGAAAACGATCTTGGATTTATGTAAATCAAGATGAATCAGGTGTAGCGATGCAAAAAATACACCAGACGCCCAGCACTGGCGCCTCCAACAGAATTAAAATATTTGTTATGCCGTGCCCACGCCCAAAAAATGTAATTTATGTAGTTGACATACACATTTTATCCGGTGATTAACTCTAGAATGTAGGTGACCATGTAGGTCACTGAAAACGGTGAGATGGTAGTTCCAAAGCAGATGGTGGATAGTCGGTAAATAGGAAATAGGGCGATCGATATTTGTAATGTACGTCCTCATTAAGGGCTTCGCCTCGTTCAGGTCCATTGAACTTATTAAAAGTTCGTTACTACTCTATATACTCTTCGAGACGCGGCTCTTTTACTATGTGTGCTGTTAAAATATTATGTACTCAGCTCCAGACATATTTCATAATTTCACCATTGCAGATACAAAAAATAAATAAAGATCAACAGCTAATTTTCAAGCACATAATTAGCAGTTGTCGAGCGATGAAAAATTCACCTATTTACAAAAAAGGCAAATAAATTATTTTTAAGAAAAAGATTCAAAATCAAATATTTACTGATATATCCACCTCATTTCTACTCGCACCACTCATTTTCTTTACGTACCTGCTCTTCTTCAGAGGCAGTAAAATCATTCTTTATGTTGAAAGTTTGGCGAATTTTCTCCGGAGCTCTATCTATGATCATATTGGCAACAGTTTTGCTTATAACGTCCAGAAGCCCCTCGATATCCAGATAGTACGCAGCAGTGGCGGCTCGTCAGAGGAGGCAAAGGAGGCTTAGCCTCCCCATAAAATTTGAGGCTATTTATCGCAATAAATTAAAAGATATTGACCAATAATTATGATTATAAATTGATGGATGTAGCCGTTACTACGCGGTAGGAGATCATAATGAAAAGAGAAATGAGAATTTCTGTATTATTTGTAACTAACGTTAACGTTACATATAGGACGAAACTGCAGTCACGTTAGTTAAAAATAAAAGTGGTAAAAAACAGAAATTTTCATTTCTCTTTTAATTATGATTATTTTTTTCTAAAAATGCTTTGGTATCATTACTTTACCATTATTTTTAATATAAATACATAATATGCCCGAAAAAACACTATCACTCACTACGTAGTACGTACCACACTGTATCATCCTGCATCAACAAACCTCAAACTCACCGCCCACGAACGAATAACGAAGAAACCATCAACCCGAAATAATAAATGCCATACGTTGATAAGTTGCAAGGGAGCCAAACCTCCAATCGCTTTAAAAAATACGCGAGACCGATCCAGCCAGCGACATACGACCGTTTTGTAATTTCAGTTGCAGAAATTATAGCGTTAGAGGAGGCTAGCCTCCAGTTGGTCTTCGTTAGTGTACGACTGCGTTTGTTTTTTATTTAATTATTCGGACGGGATGCCGTGACGGATCGGGACTATAATGACCGCCAATTAAAAGTAGTTTGCGGGTGCCTTGTGAATTCACTTGAACTAACCAGATTTAACCTTCCCTCCTACCTCATCCTTCCTTTCCTGGCAAGACACGACTCTCACCTCCCCGTTGGTTTTTGCTGGACAATAAAATTTACTTTAAGACCTGTTTTTATAAGCATAATTAAGTACTTGTGCTTTGAATAGGCGGTACTCCAAAAAACTTTCGCGCCTCCGGCGTGCTTCTCTGTGTGTATATAGTCTTTACGACTTTAGCCTCCCCTGTTCTCCAATGCACGAGCCGTCACTGGTACGCAGCTAAAATAAGCTGGAACAGAGTCCCCTCGTCCACTTTCAAAAAGTCTGCGTCCCAAGAAGATATGTCATCTGTTGGCTTCTCTTTGTTTTCGTCATGTTCTGGTGGTGGAGGATCATCTTTGAGGTAGGTAGTCCACTGAATCACTTTTCTCGAAATGGCAGAGTTGGCATGAATATTCAAATTTCGCGGGCCACGTACTTTCGATTAGCAATTTTTTTTATGTTAGAACACTCGTCTTGAACATATGCTCACAGTATCAACTGTACCATGTTTACTTTATTAACTGAATAGAACTGGCTTCCTCAAGTGTGAACTTCACGCTTCACGACCAAAAAAACCGTCGCATGAGCAGGAATTATTGAATGACATCAATGGCGATCCAGATTTGCTTCCAACAGTCATAACTGGTCATGAACCAGTGAGTTGGGCCACTTATCGGGCGCGTCCCCAGGTGGCGGATTGGGGAACGGCCAAAAGACTGAGGGTCCTGTCTGGGAAGTCAATGTGGCCTTACGGACGGGGTCGCTGGACTCCTGGCCATTGGCAGAAATAAGTAGGGCGAGGGGAACTAAATCTCCCCAAAAGCCTGCGCGAAACATGCCACCGTGGACCAGCCTACCCCAAGCTAAGGTGTAAATAATCGTGCTGACAGCTGAATGGCAGCAGGGTGATATGTGCTTTCAAACGATCTTCTTGGGGAACCTGGTGAAACCTCATTGTAAAGAGTGTTCCTTTTGTAATGCAAGGCTCTGCCAGAGGTAACCAACTCTTCCCTTGCTACTCGTGGGGGCACACATGAATGAAACAGACACAAAAACAGACACAACAAATACAAAAACCAATCCCGAGGCTGGACAGAAGTGCTCACCTCAATCTAAGGTGGTGGCTGGGGATGAACAGAAATCTCCACTAAATCCAACGCTCGGAATGAGGCTAGACATAGTAGATCACCTCGTGATGTAAAACAGAGGCAAAGACGTAACGCAGCAACTATAAGTGCAGCCTCCTCCTCTCCCATTCCATTTCCAACAGCAAGGAAACTTTCTGCGGCGGGTGCCAAAAGCTGCACCTTGAATAAAGGCAAGGAACCAGTTGCCCCTGCAGAAAAGCGCCCTCACTTGAGCACCTCCATGGGGGGAACCCCAAGAAGGTTGAAGAAGCCGCGGAACGACAGTAATGTCGCTGCTCCTCCCAAAACCTTCGTGGAGGCCGCTGTGAGACACTTCAAGGTTGCCAAAGAGAGTGTGTGTTCGGCGAGTCTTGGCCTACACCTGCCGGTATAAAGGAGATGTCTTCTAGTGACCTGTCCACCTTCCTGGAAAGGACACGATGGACGATGACCTAGGAGGACAACTCCTCAGGAGGATGTACAACACATGTGGCTTAAGTGCTGTGGGCCTACAGTCCCCCTCCTTACTCTACAGATACAGAACTGGTGACGAATCATGGGTATATGGTTATGACACCGAAACCAAAGTCTCATTGGAAGATCACAGAAGCCAAGACCAAAATAAGCATGCCAAGTTCGATCAAATTCGAGGTTTTGCTCACTGTTTTCTTCGATTACCGTGGCGTAGGGCATGAAAGTTCTTGCCACATGTTCTTTCGGTCAATAAGGAGTATTATCTTGAAGTTATGTGCTGCTTGCGAGAAGCAATTCTCCGAATAATTGAAAATAATACAGATCGAAAAGGTGCTGATCGTCCGACTTATAAACGCGAACATGTCGTAACCTTTTTTAAAACTTTCAGTTTACGTATCGTAGCGAGGTAGAACATTTCGACCTTTGCCGCAGTTGCAGACGTAAAGTTGATATCTTTTTGAAACATATATCACCATCTAACATACAAACTATATTCAAATTCCTGCATCCAATATAAAGCTGAAGTGATCAAGACAGACCTAATACTTGTGCGTATGCAGTGCTTCGCACCTCACATTAGTGCTTACACTCTAGTGCAGTCGGATATTGCTTGTTAACTGACTTCAAATTACAGTTGAACTTTGTTTTAGCGCAAACCCAGGTGGGGTTTGGGTCTAACTCAGATCCACTTCAGTGTGGGCTCCACCCGAAGTAGCAACAGGATTCTGGAACGCCTGGCTGGATACTCTGGCAGCCGAAGCCATTAATGGAAAAAGAAGAAGAAGAAAGAAGTTGGGCATAAAAACTTGTAGACCACGGCCACCAAACAACTAAAAATAGCACTAACACAGACCCTTTCATAAATCGAATCCTTTTTGTCTGAATTCCGTTATCATCAAAAGAAAAAGGGTAATGATAGTTAGTTATTAATGGAAGAGACCTATCAAATCGACAAATCACTATTTTTTAAATAATGAAATCCAACAAGTACATAAAAAATTAACCGATTTTCTTCTTTACTCAACTATTCCTGTATAATTACACATCATGACAAAAAGAAAGTCTACGGAGCATAAAAAGAGAACTTCCCGACGTCCGTCGTTCGTATCCAAGTAATTATGAAAAAATATATAAAGCAGTGCGATTAATTGTTTCCGGAGATATGCACGTGTTCTTGGAACTCTCTTGTAGAATATGTAAGATGAATCAGAAAAAAGCATTTATATTTATGGATATGTCAGAAACAGAGTGCCGCGAAGGATATGGATAATAAAATGAATATTGTTGGAATCACTTTTGGAACAACTAGTTAGTTATACAGGATGAAGTGAGAGAGATATACGAGGGATGTTCAAAACTTAAAGTGAATGTGAAAATTTCGCGGGCTACGTTTTTTTCTTACGTTGGTACACTCGTCTCGAACTTATGTTCACAGTTTCACCTGCTTAGCATGTTTGGTTTGTTGGCGAGAGTCTTAAAAGTTAGATTTTGCGTGTTCGGCGATTTTTTGCTATCAAAAAACGTGGATCAAATAATTTGCGTCAAATTTGTGTAAACAATGAAATTGAGTGCTCAAAAACACTTGAAATGTTGCCAGTGGCATACGATGATTGTACTCTGAGTCAGAAAAATTTTCACAGAAGGTCGAGAAGAATTGAATGACGGCGCTCGCCCTTGACGCCCCAGCACATCAACAACCGATGAAAATGTTCAGAAAGTGAAGAAAATTGTTATGGAAAATCGTAGAATCACTATTAGACAATTCGCTGAGAATGTAGGCATATCGGTTAGCTCAGAGCTAGTACTAGAATGCTACCAAGATTTAGCCAAAGCTTCGGTAGATAACAACATTATCTTGGGTATATCAGTTGTGGTTTAATATTGTTAAGGAAATTGAAAGTCCGTTGAATATTGGAGACGGTAGAAGCTAATGAATGATACCATTCATAAAGAAGTAGGAGTTTTTTCATAGATATCTCCATATAAGCCGTGTCACACATAAAATCCGCAACATATGGATTTCTTTCATTAGATCCGATAAACAGATTGGAGACAATGAACAACGGTAGGTTGAAAGGTGGGTTAAAAGGGCACGACAGGAGCAAATATAATCGCATCGCCGATCTTTAGCCAAGGAAGCGGCTGGACTAAGAATTTCAGGACCCAGTTAGACCTACGGCCTGATGACTTCGACAATTGCAGAACTAGTCAAACGTCACACCCAATCCCTAAAGAGATGGGAGGCCAGGATCATCCTGGACGACCCTGGGAAGCTGGAACCAAAGAAATATCTGGCGATGACCAGGGAAAACCTAAGCTTAACAGTAGGATTTCTGACTGGCCACTGTCAACTAAAGAAACACCTCCATAATATGGGGCTAGTGGACACACCTCTATGCAGGATGTGTGAACAGTGAGATGAAACTGTCAGGCGAGTGTCCCGAGTCATCGTCAATAAGAGAGTGTGTGTTCGGCGAGTCTTGGCCTACACCTGCCGATATAAAGGAGATGTCTCCCAGCGACCTGCCCACCTTCCTGGAAAGGACAGGATGGACGATGATCTAGGAAGACAACTCCTCGGGAGGATGTACAATGGGTCATATGTGGCCTAAGTGCTGTGGGCCTATACTCACTCTCCCTTCTCTACAGATACAGATCGGTTGGCTCAAGCCATGCAATTTTGTTGCAAATTTTGGACATGAAGCGTGTAACAGCGAAGTTCGTTCCAAAATTGCTGAATTTTGACCAAAAAACTGTCTCAGGAATTGTTGGAAGCCGTCAACGGCGATCCAGATTTGTTCAAAGGGTCATAACCGCTTATGGCATCGAAACCATCAATGACATCAAAAATCATGGAGAAAGCCGTAAACCACATCCTTAAATATTTGGGAGTCTTCAATATTTTGAGCGATAATCAATACGGATTTTGGAAACAAAGATCTTCTATCGTATGTCACCCACATTTGGAATAACACAATCGAGAAACATGGAGAGTCAAGAGCTGTTGCGCTTGATATTTCTGAGGCATTTGACCGTGTGTGGCATGAGGGTTTTGTGGTATGTTGTATTATGTATTTTATGTTCTATGTTTTTTTGACAGTACATTGTCATCTTTGGATTAAGAGGCCATTCCGCTCGTCAGTCTTGTTGTATAAAGTTGTGTCCTGATTGAATCATTGAACATCATGAAAACTAGTGTGTCTTATTGACCCAGGATCCCTGGAGAATGTAACATGGTGTCAGGTGTGGGGTCGAGAGCAGCTAGTTAAGCTCACAGCAACGCTAAAAAGGTTAAAACGAGGGCCCTAGATTATACCCAAACCAAACAGAAAATGGCACAAAATGGATGCATTCAGAACACCTAACCTTTTAACAGAATATGATCAAAAAAACTGGTCAGTATGGAAACGGAAATTCGATATTTATTTACGAGCAACAAATGAAAAGAGTGTTGATGAAGATACCAAAATAGCGATTTTATTGAACTTACTAGGTGATGAAGGACTTGACATTTTCAATACAATACATACAGAACTAAGAATTCAAGCTAAGTTGTGCAGTTTTATATGTGAAAAGGAGGATTGCAAAACCAGTTACGAAGAACGTATGATTAGGGATAGATTAATCCTAGGCATAAATGACAAACAGATCCAAGCTAGGCTGATAAAGGGAGCCAGATATAACTACTGCAAAAATTGAAGACTATTGTAAGTCAATAGCCTTGAGTAAGCAACATTTAAAAACACTGAATCCAGAAAAAGAAGTTCATGCCCTGAAGAAAGATGTGAAAACCTTCCATCTGGAAAGAAAAATGTGTTCCAGATGCTTATATGAACATGTTCCCAGGAGATGTCCAGCCTATGGAAAGACATGTGTATCCTGTCAAGGAATAGGACATTTTGCCAAAGCATGTTTCAGAAGTAAAATGAGGAAAAAAACTGATGAAGATTTTGACCCCCACAATGTTATTGTGTTGTGTTGTTCATATAATGCAAAGGAAGCCAATCAACATGAGACTCCACAACGGAAAGAAGAAAAACAACCTGATTTGTAAAATCAATTCAGTAGTATCACCTTTGAAAACCAAACAGGATTTATATGATCAATACAAAAATGTTTTTGGTGGTTAAGGTAAAATCCCAGGAGTTTGTTCTTTTCAGTTAACTGAAAATGCAAAACCTGTTATACAATGAATATTACTGGAGTTTTTTCCCAACACCAAATCGTTATTTTCAACACCTCGACACGTGTTTCGAATACCAAGTGATCATCTTCAAAGAGGAAGACTAAAAAAACGGTTTTTTTCCATGCAGAAAAGAGCCATCCGCCTGACTGGAGACACGAACATCACTTGCAACCTTGATAGTCTGAACATCGAAGAAAGGTTGGAGATTTGTCTCTCTTCTATAGATACTTTCAGTGGTACCAAGTCACTTGGTACCAAACGTACCAAGTGACCAAGAGCGGTACATATCAGAAATACGCGATGGAAAATGTGGCTGCTGGCTGTGGCTTCGGAATTTTGTGGCCAAAAACAATACCGTAATGATGCCCCAGCCACCAGATTCACCAGATTCAGCCTCCTGTTTCCAAGATTGAAGGGACTAATGAATGAACGGCGTTTTACGACGATTGAGGAGATAAAAACCGAATCACTGAGTGAGGACATACCAAAAAGTGCATAGTAGAACTACTTCGAGGATTGAAAAAAACGCCAACATAAATGAGGGGGACTACTATGAAGGGGATACATGCTTCGCTATACAATAGCTTCTTCAGGCGTCACAATGCTATTGTATAAAAAATCTGTTTAAAATCTGTTTTTCCGTTAACTAGCTGTCGCACCCCTATGAACGACAACCCTCGAAAGTAGACACTTGTGCGAGCTAAGGATTAACGAGGTCTTATCTTTCAATGTGTGATTCCTAACACGGGTTGGACGGTAGCAAGTGAAAATCGATCGTTCAGACTAGGGCTTGAACCACCGACCAATACGGCGGTCAATTCGAGTGAGTGAACAAAGCACCCACGTCGAACCGCCTGGCTACCGACCGACCGTATAGATACACATGTCGCTGTTTTGTAAACTTTCAAGTGGAAATCTCCAATTAAGGTGTGATTTTTGAATTCGTTATAATGGATCTTCAAAAGATGTATCCGTCGGTTCTAGAAATTGATGAATAAATTATTATATTCCCTTAATTTTTTGAACAGACCTTGTATTTTCCGAAACGTTTACGGTTTTGAGTATATAAAGAAAAATTCCAGTTATTTATTTCATTTTTAGAACATATTTCCTAATTTCCTAATTAGTTCCAAAATAGTTTTGCATCGTTGAAGTGCGAAATGGCGCGTTTCTCCATAAACAAAACTCTGTTAAAACTCCGTTAAAACACATGCTGAAGAGGAGTCGCTAGTACAACTAAATTAACGTACAATAATTTGATCGATGACAGCAACATACGGGTCGATATTCACTATTTTGTGAGTGCTAATCAGTGATTTTTTGCTGGTATCTTTTTGGCAACACTGTTTTTGACAGATCACGCGTGAATCGTGTCTTGTGTCATTGTCAAACTTGTTCAGTTTGGTCTATAATTTAACCATGAATCAACTTACGAATGAACAACGCTTGCAAATTATTGAATTTTATTATCAAAATTCATGCTCGGTGAATAATGTGCATCGTGTACTTCTTCCAATTTATGGGCAGTTTCGTCGGTCTACTGAGGGAGCTATTCGGAAGCTTGTGACTAAATTTCGA